TGAGGCAGCACATATGGCTTGAGTTACTGAAGGATTATGACATCACCATTCTTTATCATTCGTGCAAGGAAAATATAGTCGCACACTCCTTGAGCAGAAAGGCAGAGAGTATGGGTAGCTTGGCATGCATTACAGTAGAGGAAACGCCATTAGCTTTGGACATTTGGTCCTTGGCTAACAGACTTGTGAGGTTGGATATTTTACGGCTGAGTTCTTGCATGCATTGTTGCTCAGTCTTCACAATTGGAGCAGATCAAGGCTCAACAGTTTTATGATCTGCATTTGATTCGGAGAGACGGTACAATGGGTGGTGCCAAGGAGGTTTCTATCGGAAAGGATGGTGTTCTGCGACTCCAGGATCGTCTATGTGTTCCTAATGTGGATGACTTGAGAGGGAGGATTCTGGAGGAGGCACATAGTTCTCGATATTTCGTTCATCCAGGTGCTACGAAGACGTATCGTGACTTGAGGAAACAATATTCGTGGTGGCGGATGAAGAAAGACATAGTTGATTATGTATCTAGGTGCCTAAATTGCCATCAAGTTAAGTATGAGCACCAGAGGTCGGGTGGCCTACTCCAGCAGATGACTATAGTGGAATAGAAACGGGAGCGCATTACTATGGACTTCGTAATTAGGTTGCCACGAACGTTGTGGAAGTTTGATACAGTTTGGGTCATTGTCGACATGTTGACAAAGTCGGCATATTTCATTCCTGTTGTGACTACGTATACTTCAGAGAGGTTGGCCCAGATTTATATTCAGGAGATAGTTTGGTTGCATGGTGTGCGTGTTTCCGTCATATCAAATAGAGGCCCTCAATTTACTTCACATTTCTGGAGAGTCGTACAGAGTGAGTTGAGGACTCGTGTAGAGCTCAACGCGGTATTTCATCCATAGACCGACGGGCAGTCGGAGTGCATAGTTCAAATCCTGGAGGACATGCTCAGAGCATGTGTGATTGACTTTGGAGGGCAATCTATTCGTACCTTTGGCCGAGTTTGCTTACAACAATAGTTATCAGTCCAACATCAAGAATGCTCCAATTGAGGCTTTATATGGTCGGCGATGTCGTTCTCCCATAGGGTAGTTTGAGCCCGGCGAGGGTAAGTTATATGGTACTGATTTGGTAAAGGATGCCTTGGAAAAGGTAAAGTTCATTCAGGAGTGACTTCGCACAGCACAGTCCAGACAGAAGAGTTACGGGAATCAGAAGGCGCGTGATGTAACATTTATGGTAGGGCGAGAAGGTTCTCTTGAAAGTCTCGCCGAAGAAGGGTATTATGAGATTCGGAAAGACGGGAAAGATGAGACTCGAGTTTATAGCCCTATTTGAGGTTTTGAGCTGAGTTGGGGAGGTTTCTTATGAGCTTGATTTACCTCCCACCCTATCAGGAGTTTGTCGGATTTTTTACATGTCCATGCTCTAGAGGTATCACGCCGACTAGTCACATGTGTTAGACTTTAGCACTATTCAGTTAGATGAGAGCTTGGGTTACGAGGAGGAGCCGATTGCCATTGTTGCTAGGCAGGATCACCAGTTGAGATCCAAGAGGATTTCCGCAGTAAAGGTTCAGTTGAGGGGTCAACCAGTTGAGGACATTTTTGAGGTTTGAGCACATTTTGAACCACTTGGTAGTAGGCTTTGAGACGAGGTAAGTCTCTTTTCTAACCTTATAAGAGGTAATTTTCCCCATAGGTGACTTTAATTAATATGTGTTGTTATTTGCGGGGGCTACGTACGCACGAAGTGACGCAAGTCCATACGTAGCTACTATTCATGTTTATTTCTAGGTCATTTTAGATTTACACCATGCTTTATGCACGTCGTTATCTGATCATATTCGTTAATTTTATCGAATGGAACTATGTTGAGGGTTTTAAGATATCAAAAGCTTCAAGTTTAATTTCTTTATTTTGAAAAGAATCGAGAAAACGTTAAGGTTTATTAATAAATTTATATGTAACCGCATTGCAAGTATATTCCGCGAGCGGGGTGACTCCTTCTATTACTCTCATGGGAGTAGGTCGTTTGCCTTGGCAGGTTAATAGATGCATCTATGCTTCATGTCGTTCGACCCTCGTAGTGCGCAGTTTATATTTATGTTGAATCAGCTCGTACGTCCTCAGCAAACTTCGTGTGTGATAATAGAACTGGAAGTCCATTTTTATATATGGTATTTATTCACTTGAATTGAGAGGTTATTGGTTTTAAATGAAGGAAGTGGTTTGGTTTTTAATTATGGTGAAAGGATTGTTCAGTTATTTCCCAATCTGAGTTTAATTGTTATCTCTATGTATATCATGCTTAATTAAAGTTTCATATTATCATGTTGTTGGCTTAGTAAGTGCCAGAGTCGACACCTCGTCACTACTTCTTCAAGGCTAGACTAGATACTTACTGGGTATATGTACTCACGCTACACTTCTATACTTCATTGTACAGGATCTGAGGCAGGTGCATCTGGTTACCAGTCTGGCGCGCATATTTGATCCCCTCTTCGAGCCTACACGGTGAGCTACCCTTCTGAGCCGCTCTGCAGCAGTCGAAGTCTTCCTTTGGTTATATTTTTCTAACTATTATATTTCAAACAGTAGACTAGTATTCTTTTGTATATTCTACTAGAATAATCATACACTTGTGACACCAGCTCTTGGGACACACTAGTAGAGTTATGATTTTAGATTTATTTTATGATCACGAGTTGCACACATTTGCTTTCATTTAATTATTTTTCATCCACAAATTTTTAAATCCTTTGAAAAATAAGGAAAATGTTATTCACTAAATAATCTTTTTTAAATCGAGAAACCACCAGATTGATTAGTGTTGGCTTGTCTAACAACGATGTTGGGCGCCATCACGGTCTATAATAAAATTGGGTCGTGACATCAAACACTCATTTTCCAATTCTAAACTTAAACTATTTTCATCGATACCCATTACCAAATTTGACCAAAACACACAAGTCTTAAACCAAAAAAATAGAGACCTACTGAAAGAATTCAACATATATATCAAACAAACAAGAAAAAGACATGAAATTGAAAAGCAAAAAGTACCTTAGGATAACTAATACATAATCTGTAAACTCAGAAAAATGGAGGTTCTGAAGAGAGGAGGAAGAAACGATCAATGGGGGCAGGGCTAATGATTTATGGGAGGTAAGAAATGGCAATATACGCGTCGTATTACGATGTACACATGTCTATAAGAAGCATAACAGCTGGACTGAACGAAATTCCGGAATTACCCTTCGTCAAACCAGTAACTCTCACTTTTTATATAGTTAGAAGAAAGAAATAATAATAATAATAATAATAATAATAATAATAATAATAATAATAATAATAATAATAGAGATATATGAAAAAGTTTTAAAAAAAGGAAAAATTGAAGTAAAAAATCGTCTTCACCACGCTCTCAACTCACGTTAGCTAAACGTGCGAGTGTGGCTGCCATGGCTAGGGGACGAGGTAGAGGAAGAGGAAGACCAAGGAAGGTTCCTAAGACACCGATCTCTAACATCAGAAGCTCAATTAGCAACAAATCGAAGGCTGGATAGGACATGCAGACACAAAAACATCACGACAGGGTTGGGGAAGGAAAGGGTGAAATTGATCCATCAAATAGCTTAGAAATTAGTAGGAAACTGGCGCTGAGCACTTCAATTCGAGCTGAGCAAAGCTCGATGAAGGAAAATGCTGGAATAGAAGGTAGTTCCAATGGAACAGTAACAGAGGTGGCGATGCAGGTCAAACCAAGCAAGGAAACTGAAATCGAACAAAGAGAGAAAGCAAATAGATGCAGAGATGAAGTGAATACAGTGGTTAATGAGATGAACACTACAGATTGGCGACTGAACGCAAAATGTGGTCAAATCTGTTCCAACAAAATCGAGTTACTACTCATGGAATGGCACTGAAACATGTGCCTCCTCAGATTATAGATGGGCAAACTGTGGTACAACTTGAGATGCAAGATGTGAAGGAAGCAGAAGAGAGGTGGAGTGCAGCGATGATTGCTTATATTGTGGGTGAAAATCCAGGATATAATGCTATGGGAAGGTATATTGCTCAACACTGGCTTGATATTGCAGAACCAGATTTGTTTCTTCATGAAGATGGCTATTATGTCATAAAGTTCCAAAATATATCTAATATGCATAGAATTTTTTATGCTGGTCCTCATACTATACAAACTAGGCCAATAATTCTCAAGCCTTGGTCCCTAGATTTTGACATTGGCAAAGAATTCTTAACTGATATTCCTCTATGGGTGATGTTTCCAAAATTGCCAATGAGTTGTTGGGGAAATAAAGCATTAAGTAAGACTTCTAGTGTTGTTGGTAAGCCCCTGTTTGCTTATGAGTGTACTGCTAAGCAAACAAGAATCTTCTATGCAAGGATGCTTATTGAAGTAAATATGATTAAAACCTTGCCTACTGAGATCATGGTAATGGACCCTAGAGGAAGAATGGTTCAACAGGAGATAATATATGAATGGAAACCAGTGTATTGTGACCAATGCCAAATTATAGTGCATATATGCCATACTCAGCAAGGACCTAAAGACCAAAAGGAGATACAACCAAAAAGAAGAAGAGAGCCAAAGAAAGTTACCTATGAGTGTAGAACCAAAGAGCTTGTTATAAATGATGTGAATATAGAACAGATGCAGCCAAGACCAGCTGATATAGAGGTGCCTCAGACAAATGGAATGACAGAGAGACCAACAGCAATTGACAAGGAAGGATCCCAACAATGTTTACCAGAACAAATGCAACAAGCAAGACAATATCAGTTAATTGGAGATAAAAGGGAGCACTAGCACAGAGATAGTGGACAAGGGGAAGAATAAAGCCTTGGAGTTTAGCCTTGAAATATTTCCCAATTTAACTCCACTACCTAGTAGAAGTAGTGCAAAAAGAGGAACAACAAGTACAAGTGAACACCCTAACCTACCTCATGACAGAGGTGGGGGATTTAAAACTCAATAAATGAAGTGGATTATTTGGAATGTAAGGGGTATCAATAAATTGTATAAGAAGAAGGAGCTGAAGAATTATCTGAAAACCAAAAATATTAAACTAGTAGGGATCATTGAAGCAAGAGTTAAGGAGAATAAGGCTAGAGAGAATAGCCAGCATATAGCACCTGGATGGGAAATGATTAATAACTACAATGCTGCAGTAAATGGTAGAATATGGGTTAAATATGGGTTACTAACTACGATAACAGTGAAGCTGATTAAAGCGGAAGCACAGGTTCTTCACTGTACTGTCACAAATGCTATGAGAGATGAAGAATATGCAATCTCTATAGTATATGGGTATAATACAGTTGAGCAAAGAAGGCAGTTATGGGATAATCTAAAAGCAATAGATCAAATGACAACTATTCCTTGGATAATTGGGGGAGACTTTAATGATGTTCTGCAATTGCAAGATAGGAAGCATGGGAATCCAGTTACAAGAGCTGAAACTCAAGACTTCAGTAACCGCATTCAAGAATTAAAGCTAAATGAATTGAATTGGGAAGGTGACTACTATACTTGGTCCAACAAGTAAGATGATGGGGACAGAATATGAAGCAGAATAGATAGAGTCTTTGGGAACTATGAATGGATGATGCAATTGGGGTATATAGCAACTTATATGATCTACCATTTATATCTGATCATTCCCCTATGTGTCTGACATTTAATGAGATACAAAGAAGCAGGAAGATTCCTTTTAAATTCTTTAATGTTTGTGCTGATCATGAGAGATTTATGTTTGAATTACAAAAGATCTGGAACCAAAAATTTCACAGGCAGAAAATGCAGAATGTGTGGATGAAACTTAAAGATTTAAGGACAGTATTGAAGAAAATTAATGTAGAGGAATTCAAGTTTATCAAGAAGAATATAGAGCTGGGCAGAATTGAGCTGGAACATGTGCAAAAAATCATAGATGCTGATAGCAATTATGACCAGCTAAGGAAAGAGAAGGAGTTGATGCAGAATTTGGAAAAATGGAGTATGATTGAAGAAGGAGCTTTGAAAAAAAAAAGGCAGGGCAAAATGGATTCAATTGTGTGACTCTAATACTAGATATTTCTCTGGTGTAATGACAGAAAGTAACCAAAGAAAGCAAATTGTAGAGTTGCAAGTTATTGGAGGCAATAAGATAACTGATGCAGAAAGTATTCAAAAGGAGATAGTTGACTTTTATAAATCACTGATGGGAACTACTTCCCAAACCCTCCCTGCTATAGATAAAACGGTTATGTGTAATGGAGATAAACTCACTCAACAACAAAGAATTAAGTTATGCAAAGATGTGACCACAGAGAAAAACTATGAAGGATTGTGCTCAATTGGTGAAGATAAAGCACCAGGTGTGGATGGCTACAATGTAGTTTTCTTCAAAAGAACTTGGCCTATTGTAAAAAATGAAGTTATGGAAGCTGTTATGGATTTTTTTCAAGTTTGGAAAGCTGTATAGAGCCATAAACTGTACATCTATAACCTTTGTGCCCAAGGTGTCTAAGCCTAAAACTGTCAAGGAATTCAAACACTCAGCCTTTTGCACTGTCTTGTATAAAATGATATCCAAAGTTCTAGCAGCCAGATTACAAGGTGTTATGGGTACAGTGATCAATGAAGCTCAAGCAGGATTCATACATGGGAGGAGATAGCAGATAATATTATTTTGGCACATGAACTGGTGAAGGCTTATACTAGGAAAAACTCATCTCCTAGATGTATGATTAAGATAGATCTTCAAAAAGCATATGATTCTGTGGAATGGCATTACATGAAGCAAGTGATGGAGGAACTGGGATTTCCCCAGCTGTTCATATCCTGGGTTATGGAGTGTGTTCAGACAGTCAATTACTCAATTGTAGTTAATGGTGAGCCAACAAACCTTTCAATGCTGCAAAAGAACTGAGGCAGGGTAACCCTCTGTCACCATACTTATTTGTCATTACAATGGAGTACCTAAGCAGGAATTTGACTAGGTTGAAGGAGGAGAAAGAGTTAAAATACCACCCTAGGTGTGCAAAGCTAGGGATCACTCAGCTAAGCTTTGCAGATGATCTGCTTCTATTTTCTAGAGGTGATTTAAAGACAGTAAAAGCAATTCAACAGAAGTTCAATCAGTTCACTCAAGTCTCAGGTTTACAAGCAAATCTTAGTAAAAGTGAAGCTTACTTTGGAGGGGTTCCTGTGACAGAAAGGCATCAAATCCTGCAGATGCCGGGACTTGCAAGTGGTGAACTTCCCTTCAAGTATCTAGGAGTTTCCTTATCCACAATGAAACTGAGCTTAATGCAATGGAAAACTCTTATTGATAAAATGACTAAGAGGATTACTTCTTGGACTGCTAAGACTTTATCATATGCAGGGAGGGTCCAGTTAGTCCAAAGTGTACTGTCTAGGATTCAGGCTTTTTGGGCACAACTGTTTATCCTACCAACAAAGGTGATCAAATTGGTAGAGGGGATATGCAGGTCCTATGTCTGGTCTGGAGTAAATGAGATCACAAATAAGGCTCTAATAGCCTGGGATAGAGTCTGTTTACCCAAGGCAGGAGGTGGACTCAATATAGTGAACCTGAAATTGTGGAACAAAGCAGCTATAGCCGAAACCTTCTGGGATTTAGCTCAAAAACAAGACAAGTTGTGGATCCGATGGATTCATACTTGCTATATCAAAAATAAACAAATGATTATAATGGCCATACCTCAACAAGCATGTCGGATGGTAAGAAAAGTAATTTAAGCTCATAGTGTATTGGAAGCTGGATAGGTTTTACCAAATCAGAGGAAAAACATAATCAAACAAATCTTCCTACATTTGCTAGGAGACTACAGAAGGATGGAATGGAAGACATTTATGTTTCATAATGCAGCAAGGGCAAAAGCAAAGTTTATAATGTGGCTCATGGTATGGGAAAGATTGTTGACATGTGACAGGCTAGAAAACTGGAAGATATCTGTTGATACAGAATGTGCAATGTGCAGTAAAGAAGTGGAAACAAGAGATCATCTATTTGGGCAGTGTGGGTATATTACTCAAGTATGGAGTAAAATGTGTAACTGGATTGGTAGGCAATTCCTGGGAGTTACCAGTTGACAGCAGTTCCTGCAATGGTCAATTTTTGAAGCCAAAGGGAAAACTCAGCATGCACATGTGTTTAGAATGATATATGCAGAAGTAGCTTACCACATATGGATAGAGAGAAATAGACGTATCTTTGAGAAGAAAAGCAGAACATGGGAGCAGATTTCAAAGGAAATAGACTATATAGTTAGTTTTAGAGTCACTCCTAGAAACAAATCCTTTGTGTATAGCATATGTTTCTAGGAAGTAGAGTAAGATGAGTATAGAGAAGAATAGCAAGTTGTGTTTAGCTATGTTATAGTTTTGTAATTGATACTTGGCGATTAATAAATAATTTAGTTACCCAAAAATAGAGATTCTAATTAACAGCTTGTTTGGATGGTTGTTACCTATTGTATCGTATTGTATCATTATCCCAAAACAATGTTTGTTTTGATTGTTTCATTATAATATGTTGTATTGTATTGTTAAATTCATTATTCCAGAACAATAAAAAGTCCCAAATTTTGAAACAACCGATTTGACATGGTGAGATTGTTTCCTATTTTTTTTCAATTATGCCCTAACTTATTACTCCATAATTCTATTTACCATTTACATTTTTTCTTAATTTTAACTCCAAACCTCTAACCTATCACCTACTTCGTCTTCTTCCCTTTTTTTTCCAAAACGTCTGCCATTTCAAACTCCAACATAAAAGGTATAGGTTTGCCTTCTTTTTGTTTTGTTTTTTCTCCTATGTAATTTTAACACCAAATCTTTGTTAATTGCTAATAAGTGAGTTATTCAACACCCATTTCTTCATGTAAAATAGAAGCTGCCGTTTCTTTGCATTTTGTATCCCCAACTGTTATTTTTATTTTTAGTTGGTATTACAAGGATAAAACACCATTCTAATCATTAATTGTGAGCACGTGATCTTTGCCCTATATGAATTACTCACATAGATTTAAGAAAATTGAATTTTCCCATTGTTTGTAATTTCGTAGATTTTGTAGCATTTTTGTTAATTGTTTGCATTTGTCTATGCATGTTAATTTTGTTTAATTAATGAAAATTACAAAAATATGTTGCATTTGAATTTAGGATTTAATTCTACATTTTTATATTAGTTAGCAAGTTAGTTGTTTTATAAAAAATGGAAAAAATCACAAAAAATAGTTTGTTTTTGTACTTTTTTATTTTAATTTTGAACTCAAGTAGCTTTTCCTTTAATTTGGTTTTTAATTATTTATGGTAATTTATTATTTAGAGTTAGTTAGTTTATGTTGATAGGATAATTTGATTTAGGAATTAGTTTTGGTTTTATTTTTATTTTTATGTTAAAAGAAAACAAAAGAGTTTGAAATTAATTTANAAAATGAAGTGAAGAAATCTGATCGTTTGGACCGTTTCCATTAGGATTCCCTAAGCCCAAATCAAGTTTCCTTTTGCCCGTTCGAAGCTGACCAAGTCCAGCTGAAAACCCATCGGTCCAGTTCGCCTTCGCCAAAACGACGTAGTTACAATCCTAAACTACGTCGTTTCACTCGTCCCCCATCATTAAACGACCAAACTCACCCCTGGTCTCTCATTTAATTCGTCTAAAATCAAACCAAACCTAAATCCCCTTTCCTCTGAAATCATAGCCCACCTCCGCCATAGCTCCGCCGCCCGGAAATCGCCTCACGGCGGCGAAGCACCTCCAAACACCTCCAAATTTCAACCAGCTAATCCTCATAATCCCCTAGTTCATATCACACCGTTGATTTCCCCAAAAGGTCACTCCATTTCTCCGAATCGTAGATCCAAAAATAAAAATCCAAACTTTCTTCTTTTTGCCCAAACTTTCCGGATTAAATCCTCAATTCACGCTAAAACCTACATGAATTCCTCAGTGTTTCATCAAAAGGACTCCATTTGATGTCAAGAACGCTCTATCCCTTGGTTTTGACCAAATTTAGGACATTTAGCCATGAACGATCCAAATTCTTCAAGTCTCTGCCTCGTTCCTTTCTTAGCATATGGTGAGGATTGTTGCATGAATTATTAGCTATGAACGAAAATTCGGCTAATATGCGTGTTACAGTTCTCACCATTTCGTCGAGTTATTGGATTCGTCGGAGTTCGAGTACAAGTCATCTTTGTTCTTGACGATTTTGAGCTTTAACTGGACTTAATTGGTATTTTCTTGTTCCTTTTTCTTTATCTCTTTAAGTTCAAATGTTAGTCATAAAACTTCTTCTCCTTTTCTATAGACTAAATTAGATTTGTTGGTCAGTACTTTAGTGTTAATTTTATTCAAAAAAGGAAAAAACGAGTAATTATACTGTCTCAGTCCCGAATTGGATTGCCGTTTCTTTTCTCTGAGTTTTGGTTGTTTTTTTTGTTTGGATTGGGTTTGGGGGTTTGTCAGTACCAGCCCACTGAATGAAAGTTCAAATCTAGAGACCTATCCGTTGGCCCAAGTTTGGGATTGGGTCTTTGGTCAATGACCCCGTTTCGTTGTAAGGGTAAATAGTAGGGTTTGAAGAGGTAGTCTAGGAATTTTGGTTAGGGAATATATTTGTAACTGAATATGAAGTTGCCTAGAAGGTGGGGGTAGGGACTTAAATGAATTTTTGAATTTTAACTTAAAGATTTCTAAGCAAAATCCAAAATTCCAAAAGGGTTAAAATGAAAAGTCTGATTTCTTTAGGTTGCCCTAGTGCCTTGCCTATAAAGGCATCCATTTCTTCAAGCTCAAGGCAGAAAACTTAAGAGAGAAAAATATTGCAAATTGAAACGGCTGGGTTTTAAAAAATTCTAAAGAACAATACTGAATTTTCTGTATTTTATTGGTCCAATTTGGTTTTGGTTTGGGTTTTACACTCCTGAATTTAGAACTCCTGAAAGATCTCTGATTCATTAAAAAATAGAAGAATGGTATGAAAGCTGCTTTGCTGTTTGGGTTCTGGGTAGAAATCATTGTTGTTTGGTTCTTTTTTTTACTTGTTTGAGATGCTGATTTTTGGGCACTGTTGCATTGACTGTTTGGGCTGGTTGATTGCTGACCCTTCACCTCTTTTGTCTCCTTTGTTCATTACCGGGTATTTCTTCAAAACCATTGTCAACAAGTGACTAAGGGCATGTACTTCGAGTTGAGGCCTGACTGAATACAAGTTGTTTTGTTTTTTCTTGGAATTTCCCTTCATTCGCTTCTTCTACTTCTTTAAATAAGCTGCAATAGACCTTGTATGGTAGATGTTAGCCTAGTTGATGTGCTGTAGAAATGAATCTGTGCCTTTTAAGAGTTCCTCATTTGTATGATGTCTTAATAGCTTGATTCACTATGGTTTCTACTTAATTTCTTATTTAGGTAGTAGAGTTTGTATGCCTATTTTGATTTGGGAATGTTAGAGTTAGTGTAGCAGAGGGTTTGTTCTAGTTATGCGATCAACTTTTTATTTTGCTGAGAGTCAGTGTGATGATTTCATACGGAACTTGCAAAATGACAAGTGTAATTTGCTATTTGAAGGGAATTGTGATGTGATCTAAGGTTTGCTCGTTATGTGTTGCTGGAGAATAAGGTTTGACTTGTGATATATAGATC